TGACGTCGACTCTCCTCTGCACAAGAAAACTGCTGTTATTCACCTCCCTTTGCTTCCTGTCCCTGCACCCACGTGCTGCATGTCAGCGTGTTTATTCAGCTCCATAAAAAGTTCCCAGCTGGAGCCGGGGCTGGCAGCTCCCTGTCAACTCTGCACGGGATGGGGATGTTCCCAACCCAGCCTCGCAGCCGCCTCTCCTGCTCTGCGCCTGCAGTTTGCTCAATAAACTTCAAAGGCTGGTGAGGAGAAGAGTCTGTTCCAAGCCTGGCAAGTGTTTGCATGAAGTATGCAAATAGCCGGGGATGGGGTTTTCAAAACCTCTGGGCATTCCCCGGAAAACAGCTTCTTCCCCCTTGCGCTGCTCGGGGATCCGGCAGCCGGCGAGCAGGACCCGGCTGTGAGCACCCCAAAAACCGCCCTCCACCCGCACAGCCAGGGGAAGGAGCCACATAGAAAATGAAAACAAAACCCAGAGCAGCCCCTGGGCTGCTGCCCAGCCGGGGAGCTGCCGGGAGGGCGAGCGGAGGGGAGCAGGGGCATCCCTGTGCCACGGGCAAGGAGGGATGGGGGGCACGGGGGCTCCGTGGCTTCGGGGTTCCTGCCCCCACCGCTGCTCACCTTGTTGCGAGCTTTGTAGACACAGGCTGTGGCTCCCTGGCCCAGGAGGTCCTCGGTGCTCCAGAGGTAGTTGGGGGTGCTCTGCATCTCCAGCGGGAAGCACAGGGGTCACCCCGGGGGCCGCTGGCCACCAAATCCCAGCCTTTGATCCGTCTTTGCCTGGCAAGGAGCAGGGAAACGCCGGCCAAGGATGTTCCCCTGGGCAGCTCCAACCTCGCCGGCAGCACCACGCGAAGGCTGCGCATGGACCGAGCCGCGAGCGCTGCCAAAAAACCACCCCGGCCGGGACCTGTCGGGGCTGGCAGCGAGAAGAAACTCTGACAGATGAAAAAAAAAAAAAAAAAATTACGAGCAAACAAGAGCGGGGCGGCGAGAGGCACCTCCCCACCCCGGGAACTGAAACCTACGGATTGCAAAACCCGCTCGGCAACCGGCGGCAGCGCTGGAGGAGGAAATGCTTCAGCTTCCTGCTCGAGAAAAAAAAATTCCCAGTGTTGCAGCGATCCCCGGGCGTGCTGGGCTCCTCCGGGGGGCAGATGGGGCCGGGATGGGCTCCGGGAACGCCAAAAAGTGCCGAGCACCGGCCACGATCGGATTTGGGAAGCAGAGTGGGATCAGGATCCGTGTCCAGGGTGAGAGTCCAGCCTTTGTTATCTGTGCCAGCTCGGCCCTGGCACGGACACAGCATCACCCAGTGGAATGTGTGTGTCACTGTCCTCTTGGGATGCCCTGGCAGGCATGTGGGATGCAGGGGGGGATGCAGGATGCAGAGCAGGGTGCAGGGTGGGATATGGGATGCAGGATAGGGTGCGACGCAGGATACAGCGTGGAATGTAGGAGAGGGTGGGATGTGGGACACAGGGCAGGATGTGAGAAGAAAGATGGGATGCAGGGTGGCATGTGGGATGCAGGATGCAGGCAGGATATGGGATGCAGGATGGGATGTGGGATGCAGAGCAGGGTGCAGGGTGGGATGTGGGATGCAGGATGCAGCATGGAATGTAGGAGAGGGTGGGATGTGGGATGCAGGGCAGGATGTGAGAAGATGGGATGCAGGGTGGCATATGGGATGCAGGATGCAGGACAGGATATGGGAGGCAGGGTGGGATGTGGGATTCAGGGTGGGATACAGGATGCAGGGTGCTCAGGATACCCTCCAGTGCCTGCACAGGGCAGAGTGGGGCTGCTCATGTTCCTGCTCCCTCCCTGGCTCAGACACCCACACTTCACCTTGATCAGCACCAGCTCCCACTGTCAGGAATCACTTCAGGCTGGTGTGGACGTGTGTCTGAAGGCCCCATCCTCACAAACAAAGCCTGCAATGCTCTGTGAGCACACCAGTGTGTGGTACATCCAGAACCCAACACGACACCTCACCAGCCTGCGCATAAACTCCACACGGGACTAGTTCCTTAATTCCTGCTGAGCTTCATTTCCCAGCCACGTGCCAGTGTGCCTGGAAAACCCTCTGGAGAGCTGCCAAGCTGCCAGACTGTGGGCACAGACTGGCCCTTGCCCTGAGCTTATCTAAGGGGCAGCAGGGGTTGGTGTGGGGTGACGAGCCCGTGGCAGCGGAAGCACAGTGACGTCAGTTTAACCATGAGAAGCTTCAAATCACTTTGATTGAAGTTGTTCTGCTGCAGCCCAGTTAAAAGGAAGAGAAAGCATTGGGGTGACTTCTTGAAATCATTCCTAGTCTTATTTTCTGTGTCCTTCAAACAGGACAATCCTTCAATCTGTCCCCACGGTGCTGGCCAAGCTCCTGGGCTGTGGGTGCAGTGAGGGCTGGGCTGGGCTTCTGTGCTGTGCCTCTCGCTCACCAGACTAAAAGATCATCAAATCTGAGATGGAGATGCTTGAGAAGCCCTTCCCTGCGCCAAAAAAACTGCAGCTCATTTCTCATGTCATTTCTCAGCACTGAAATCACAGATGAAGAGCAGTTAACACGAGGAAGAGGGGCAAAGCGAAACCTCCGGAGGGGAATTCCAGCTGAGTTCCTTCCCAAAGGCCCAGAGTGGGCATGTGGGTACAGTGATGATTAATCCTGCACCCCACACTCAGTCCTGCACCCTCTGCAGCTCTGCAAGTTCAGTTCCTGCACTGCAGCCCTGGGAGCACAAGGAGCCCATCCAGGGCATCAGGAGAGGAAAGGGCCCATCCTGTGTTTCAGCTCAGAAAGTGAAACAAAGATTTTTTTTTAAGACAGAAAACCCAGGCTCAGGCATTTTCTGAGACTTCTGACCGTGTTGCTTCAGCTTTCACTGATGAGTGAGCAGGTCTGGGCTGGTGGGGCGTAAAGACAGACAGGAAGGAAATCATTAAAATATTTTATAGCACCCCAAAAAGGTTATTTTCAGGTTGTGCTGCCAGTCTTTTCAGTCCATTCTCGACAGGCAACACCAGCACACCTTGATGCCAGTGTGGTGCCAGCCCTTGGAGCCCAGGGACTCCAGCATATCCCAGTTACCCCAGCAGCTCTCCCAGTCAGGTCCAGTCTTGGAGAGAGATCCCAGCCCAAGGCCAGGAACTCACCCCCAAGGTTTGCCTGGTTCCTTTCAGACCCCTTTATCCTTTCCTTTGCTATAATTTTAAATGTAATAATTCATTTCCTCTCCCTGGGTACCCCAACAGCAGGTTTTGACACTCCAATCCCATCTGTCCCACTGGGACTGGACGTGCTCGTGAGGGATAAACTCTGGGAGAGCCCAGTCTGGCACAGGCTGGGAGAGCAAAAACCTGGCCTTGAAACCAGTTTGTGACAAAAATTAATTGTTCCAGCTGGTGGCAGCAAAGCCTAAAGAATAAAGGACAAGCAGTGAGCTCTGCCTGCAGCAGGGACCTCGTCTCTGGGGGCTTGGGACAGAAAACCCGAGCCCACGACCCCGGTGATGTCCCCACGGTGTCCCTGGGACAAACCTGCTCCTGGGGAACGTTCATGAGAGGCTGCAATGGTCCCATTTCTTCACACCAAGTGCTGTGGTCCTTCCCAGAGGTTCCCCTTCCCCACTGACCCTTCACAAGCAAACAAACCCTCCCCTCACTCAGCACCAAACCCTCCCCTCGCCACCACATTTCCTTGTTAAAAACCACCATAACGAGAGGTTTGTGAGGGAGGGTCAGGCAGTTTGATGCCATCAGAGGGTTTAAGGGATGAATCACAGTGTCCTCTACTGCTGGACAGTGGGGACCCAAAGAAAATCAAAAGTCATTTGTTATCTGTGTCACCCCATTGCCTTTCTGACTCCTACTTCTTGTCTAAAAAGCAAAAAACCACCACCTACATGCCACTGTGCCCAGCCTGCTTTAGGGTATTACCACATAAGCTGCTGTGATTTGGGCTACTAATCTAAGAAGTAAAAGCATCCTGAATTTCCAGCTCTTGAATCCCTAAAAGAGATGCAGGACAGGGAGCACAGGGATGCTCCATCCCCTCAGGAGCTCACCCCAGGGACAGCAGGGACAGCTGTCCACAGCTCACTCCCAGCTGAGCATAAAATGTCTTGATTAAACATCAAACCTCACCATAAATAGGTAATTCCTTGATATCTAAACAAAGGGAATCCAAAATGACACAGCCCTGCCACGTTTTCCCCTCCGTGCTCTGAAAAAGGCCTCTTACTAAGACTGGGGAAAGCTGGTAATAATAATAATAATAATGATCCAGTCCATAATCTCAATCTTAAATCCTCTTTCCTGAGACAGTTGGGGGTCCATCCTCTCCAGGAAAATGAGGAAGATTAAGCATTTTTAAATCAGGTCATTGCAAGGGAAGTGTTTGCCCTGGGGAATCCTGCTGGTGGTGGTTGGTGCGTGCAAGCCCGGGGTGGGGGGACAGTGGAGTCACAGAATCCCAGAATGGTTTGGATTGGAAGAGACCTTAAAGACCATCCAGTTCCAGCCCCCTGCCATGGGCAGGGACACCTTCCACTAGCCCAGGTTGCTCCAAGCCCCGTCCAACCTGGCCTTGGGCAGTTCCAGGGATGGAGCAGCCACAGCTTCTCTGGCCAACCTGTGCCAGGGCCTCCCCACCCTCAACAGGGAAGAATTTCTTCCTAAAACTTAATCTAAACCTACTTTCCTTCAGTTTAAGGCCATTCTCCCTTGTCCTGTCACTACCTGCCTGTGTGAATCCCTTGACCTTTGGATCCCCCTTATCCCTGGGCCACAATGATGCTCCTTCCCTGCTGGGATCGAGTGTCCCAGTGCCCACGAACGACACCGCGTGTTCCTGAATCCTGCAGATTCTTCCTCACCTCCTTACCAGTGCCTGTAGCAACAATCCTGAGGATTCCAAAAGCCCCCACAGGCCATGCTCACCCTCTCTCCCACTCAAACCCAGGCACCCACACTCGCTCCAGACATCACACACCGGCACCCTCAGGTCAGTGTTTCCACCATACCCAAAACATTTATTTCTCCAAAACTATTGCTAATGACAATGGATACATTTTGTTGCCCCAGTATGGACTGAACATTTCCAACACATCGACTCCTAATACTGTACAATACTGTACCAAAAGGGGGAGGGGGGAAAAAAAAAAAAGAAGGCTGTACCTCCATATTGTACAGAGTTCTATATACAAAGTACAATTTTACACAGTTTAATATATACACCGTATATATATTGGTGTAGAAGACATGAAACAATGGAAACTGTTTTTAGCAAGAACATTCCATCCCACCATTAAACAACTGCTGTCGACAACCCCAAACCCAACGCACCGTACGAGCCACCACAGGACCGAGGTTCAGACAGAAAACACACATTTCTAGACTTTGCAACCCCAACTTTTCCAACGTTACAGCAGAACCACATCACTGCGATCCCTTAAAATCAGAGATGGTTTTCAGCAATTGCCCCCGCTTTGGCTACATAGAGCTGGTCTTTTGAAGAACCTGCTGCTCACAAGTATTGCTCCAGCAGTTTGGCACACTCACGAGTCCAGTCCCTTTGAACTTGGCTTATTCACATCTCAGGGCTCTGCCTGGAGAAAAGGCTGGTGAAGTCCACCTCAGGAGTAAGGTTACTACAGTGCCTTGAAAAGGACGGGTCCATCTACAATTTCCACTGCAAACTGCTAAATATTTACCCTGTATGAAGCTTGGTAGATCAAGTATTAGCACAGCAGGGAGCTGCCCTCCCTCTCCACCTTTGCCTCTTTTTGGCCCATCGTTGAAAAGCAACACTTTTGTCCCGAACTACGTTATAGGAAGCACAAAATAGAACAGGAAAAAAAAAAACCAAAACAAACCAACCAACCAAACCTGACATTTTCCAGGCCTTGAATTGCTGTTTTGGCATCTGGAGAGCCACCAAAATAGACGGTTTGTTCCTAGAACCGAGCCTGGAAAAGAATCCATCTGCCTTCAGGCGGCGGCGGCAGAGCCTGGAACCGCTTGTGCGTGACACAGCCGGGGCCATCCCGGCCCCACAGGCACAAGGCAGAGGGTCAAGTATTTGTATTTTCTTTTTTTTTTTTTTTTCAAGTACCAGGTTGTCACACGGACACAGAGACACGCAGAGAGAGCTGATCTGGAAAGAGCTCAGACCCCAAAGTTCAGTCCATGAAGCGCTCGGTGTTTTCCCAGAGCTGGCGCTGGGAGCAACGTTCCCCATGAGAGAGAGAACAATCCTTTTCTTCTACCAAGGCCTCTTGTGCTACCAGGCCACTAAAGAAACAGCTTTATGTCTCCAACTGCATTTGAGGGGCGTTAGCCAAGGCCAGATAAACACACAGCAGGGCCTGTTATTTTTGTGAAAGCTAAAAATCTCAAAATAAATAAACCCCCATCTTGTTAAACTCATTTTCAGCCCAAGACAGGCTCCTAAGCGAGGGAAATGCCCCAGTGCTCCTGTGTTTCTTTGTTTTTGAAAGCAGTTTTCCTTGCTTGAGGTTCACAGGTCAGCAAGTAAATATATTTATACTTAGGAGCACATCCCTGCACAGTCAGGGCTTGATCCTGCCAGGCACAGGTATCCCCTCCCCTGGCCACCAAACTCCAAGGGACAGGGGCACATCCTTCAACTCCCACCTGTCCTCACGGATGTGTAGGACAGGGGCCAGAGCTCAACCTCTTACCGAGTCAAACTGTCTCAAATGGGGATTTTTGGGGATTTTTCCCTCATTATTGTTGCTTTACTAACAACCTACACCCCACTGAGACCACCATCTCATTTTAAGTGTTCCCTCAACGTGGATTCCATCAGCAATGGAGCGTTTCCACCCTACCTGGTCCACAGGTCTGGAAAGGATCTGAAGTGCTAACAACTAGAGACATCGATTTCTGCAGAAGAACATCTCTCAAAAGCCCAATAAACCCCCAAATCTATACAAGGTTCAACTGAATTTGAGGTTTTTGACACACAGAAGAAGAGAAATAAGGCAGCAAACTCCATCTGCAATGAACTTCTCTCGTCCCAGTATTGCTGGAGCTCTTCCAAGTGCGCCGGGTCGCCCCTTGTACCGAGTGCAAGGTGGGGGAACTGCAACAGATGGAATTTCTTGCCAAACTGAAGCGTTTCGATTCCGTAAATAAATTTATGAGAACTCGGTTATCTTAACCTACTTTTGTGCAAGAACAATCTTGCCTTTAAAAAAAAAAAAAAAGAAAAATCATTTAAAAAAAAAAATCAACAAAGAAAACTCCCAAAACCCAACACATGAGGTATTCAGCACAGGAAACCCAAAGACTCCTTTCGAACAGGTATCAAAATACAGACATATACAACAATTTTTTTTTTTCTGCTGTCACAGTGCACTCTAATTATTTACTCATTTTCATTGCAATAGAATATCCAGTACAGATAAAGTGAGAGAGTTTGATCGTGTCCCACTGCTTTGACACGAAGGACAAATTTACAATTTATCAACTGCAAGCCTTTGGATGCCCTCGAGAGGCAGAAATTTAGCACTGGTTAAAGCACACTGCTCCATTCCCAACTAGGGAAATAAGCCAGAAAAGGTTCGAGCTTCAGAAACTGTTCAGATCACCTAAAACCGTGTTTTATTTCAAAAGTTTTCGCTTTGGATTATTTCAATCCAACACCCGATGAACAAGGCCCCGTTGTTCATCCCAAGCACTATCGAACAGACAGACGTTTATTCCAGTTATCCAACACTTCTTGTCTTTTATATTTGACACAAACATTACATAAAAAAGTCATGAGAAGAGAATTCCTACGGAAGAGCTAATATTTCTTCGGAACATGAAGATATGAAGCGACGTTGATACCTCCCCAAGCAAACCACTGTGTCGCCCTCGTCCACCCTACGCCGGTCTCTCCTTCCGCAGGGAGCGGCGCCGACTCTTCCAGTCCCTCCTTCCCACCTCTCCGGCAGCGACTGGGCATTAAACCCTTGTGGCAAACCTTCTCTTGGCCTTGTGTGTTCACAGAGTGAAGCAGGCAAGGCGAAAGCCTCCTTTTCTTGGTTGTGACTTTGTTGTTTAATTCCCCCCGTGTGTGTGCGCGCGTGTGAGTTTTCCGCCGGCTGGGCAGACCCGGAGCACGAGGGAGAGGAAGGATGACCTTCAGCCTGTCATATTGCTTGCTGTAAATGTAAGTGTCAATCACAGTGCACACCAGAATTCCAGTTGAGTTGTTCCATATGCAGGTTATCCTGCCAAGCAGGATTGTCCCAGAGCTGTGGATGCTAGAGAAGCACAGTAATTCAGATACAGACAGTTGCTGTTACAGTAACCTGAAGTCTTTTTTTTTTGTTGTTGTTTAAATCTCCTAATTTCACACTTCAGACCTGGAAGATAGAAAAGAGCATCTCCTCCAATGTGCTGTGCGTGGCTGGACACTTATTCTTAGAAACATGAACGCTAGGCATAAAAATAGAAAGAAAATAAGGCATTACAAATGAGTTGAAGTCGATTTACAGAGATCCTGCTCCTGACACAGATTAACTTTGGTCGGTTACGACCAAAAAAAAAAGAAAACCAAAAAAATTCCTACTTAAAAGGAAATGCCAGCAAGTTCTGCCTGAGCAAAAAATTACAAGTTTAATTAATTCTATTTTTCCCCAAAAGAACAAGTGATTCCTTGGTGGTAGAAGTCCATCAGAACCTGAGAGCAAAGGTCGCTGGTCGCGCCCTTGGGATCTTCCGTGAGGTCCAGTGACAGTCACACACGTACCACGGGGCTTCCCCAGGGAAAGCTGAGGAGAAATGGATAACAAAGAGTGTTCTCACTGAAATCTTCCCAGTGTTCCACAATTTTCTTAATTTAGGGCACAGAGGAAGTCGGTGTTTTGAAAAGCCATCATTAATATGGATTGATTGCTTCTGTAGAGAGAGGGGGGAGTGTGCGTTTGGGGACGGACAGGGACACAGGAAAACCCTGCTCCGTTTTCCCAAGCAACATCCTAAATTAACGAGAAAAAACCCATTTCAGCAACCCTTCTCAGAAAAGCACGTTTTGTTTCTTCTTTTTTAATTACTAAGTGCCAATTAAACCGACATTGCAGTCACGAGGAACCGACAAACTGGAAAGAAACTCAGCTAAACAGGCAAGAAAAATGATTTTTCTTATCTTGCCCTTGCCTGAATTCGTCTGATGAACACATAAGATGTGCTGCTTGTTTTAACATCCCAGAAAAGTTTAGGAACAAGGAGAACCAGGGTCAGCCAGGACTGTGAATCTTCTTTAGCGCTGCAAGTGGCACATGCCTTTGTTTGTTTTTGTTTTTGTTTTTTTAATTATTATTATTATTAAATTAAATAAATGTGAGCGTCATGGAGAATTCCCAGAGGAGTACAAAAGAGTCCTTGCAGCCTGGGGGCAGCTGGAGCATTTGCTGCCCACAGATAAATACAAATACTAACGAATCCATTCACACGTCCGAGTCCTAGGGAGGAGCCACGCCAAGGGACACGCGGGGAAGCCACTCCAGGAGCCACGTGTGCTGTCACATCACTGTCCCCCAGCGGCGTTTCCTGCCCTGCTCTATAAGAGCAGAGATCCCTAAATCGAGTCACAGCGGCCACCGACCGAAGCGTTTGCAACCAGAAAGAGGGAGAAGGGAGGAAGCTTGAGAAAACTTCTGATTGAAGTTTTTTTTTTTTACAGTGCTTGTCACCGGGATTTTGGTGAGGATCCATCCTGATGTGTGATCAGACCGAGGATTGTGTGCGTTAGGAAGTGGGTTCCCATCAGAGGACGCTTTAAGTTTTCCAAATGAACTTGTTTTTTACATTCAGTCTCCCGAGAGCACACACCACATCAGAGCCCACGGGCTGGAAACCACGCTGAAACAATAAAGCTGTTTTTAAATAGGGGAGAGCAAAGGGGGGAAAACCAGCTCGATTGTCCATAAGCAACAACTGGGCTCTTTGTTATGCTCCTAAACCTCAGGAGCATGTTTGTTTATATTTGCACAGACACACATTACGTAGAACTCCACAAAAATCTAAGAGTGTTCCAGAGTAAACTATTTTTCATGACAAGTGTCAACTAAAGCATGAGGCTGGATGGCCAAGGGCTTTGGCCCCGGGGAGGGGGAAGGAAGGGGGAGCAAACAAACAAAACCAGAGGATGTGATGGAAGTCGAGACAGACCCTTAAACCACCGTGGCACCGGTGGGCGACAGAATAATAATAATAATGCACAAGAAACAGGCATGTCCAAGCTCCACGTAACCAGTGGCACCAAAACATGCAAGAGACTAAAATCTATCCTATTGTTTCCCTGTGATAAATGAAACACAGAATATATAAGTCACTACACCAGTATCCAAAAACAGGATGCCACCGAGTGTTTCTTTCAGTGGCCAAACACTTGGACAAGGCATCAACCAAGAAACCAAGATCCAACTCATCCCTCTTGTGTGTGTGTTTTCCTGCTCAGCTTCACAGTGACCCGACTCCGGGTTTCCCCGAGCGTGGCAGGAACCACTTTGCCCCAAACACATCAGCCATGTGGGGACGTGGGACGAGGTTCTTACCACTCAGTTCGCTCCCGGGAAGAGCTCCCGGCAGTCTCACAACTAAACCTTCAGTCCGAAAAAAAAAAATCACTTAAATAGGAATTTTAACGTCTTTTAACAGAGTCTCTCCATCCGAAAGCGGTAAGAGCCGTCTCCACGGAGCAGCACCGAGTTCATCACACAGTACAGGACTTGTCAGGGGGCTGCTGGGACGCGGAGGAGGCCACGCCGGGGCTCGTGGCGTTCGTTTTGGGGAAGACGGCGGGTTTTGGGCGGGTGGCCGGAGGTTTCACCTGCGTGGCCATTTTGATGGACTTGACGGGCCGGAAGGTGCACGGAATGTCCCCGGCCGTGCTGGCACTGCGCTGGAAGGGCGGCTCAGAGTCCTTGAGGAGCTGGGTGTGCAGAGGGCTGGAGGGTTCCGAGGTGGGGGCCACCACGGGGGACGTTTTCAAGGGCTCCAGGGTGTCCAGGACAACGTCCGGCGTGTGCTTGACGCTGCTCTGCCTCTCCAGCTCCCGCAGCTCGTTCAGAGCAGAGTTCATTGTGGCTTCAATGTCCTGCAAACACAGAGGAGAAACCCGGTGAATAGAGCCCAGACACAGAAATACTAATATATAAAAATATAAAAATATAAAAATATATATAAATATATAAATATATATAAATAAATATATAAAAGTATAAAAATATATAAATATATATATAAATATATAAAATATAAATATATAAATACAAATAAATATATAAAAGTATAAAAATATAAAAATATATATAAATATATAAAAATATAAATATATAAATATAAATATATAAAAGTATAAAAATATAAATATATAAATATATAAAAATAGAAATATATAAAAATATAAAGAAATATATAAAAATAGAAATATATATAAAATCTATAAATATATGTTATATAAATATAAAACTATAGATAGAAATATATAAATACAAATATATAGATATATAAATACATATCTATATAAAATATAGATATAAATATATAAATACAATATAGGTATAACTATATAAATACAAATATAAATAGATACATACAAATATACGAATACAAATATATATAAAACATAGATATAAATATATAAATACAGATAAAATATATAGATATAAATGTCTCTATATATCTATATGTAATATAGATATATAGACATCTATATGTAATCTAGATATACTATTACTTAAAAATAAATATTAAATACAATATACGATATAGAAGAAATATATAATAAATGAGAAATACTACAGGGAATGTATAATAATAATTATATAAAATATATCTAAATAAATATATAATATATAGATATATCAATAGATATAAATACTTATATATTCATAATATATATTATATATAGATATGTATGTGTATATAAATATATAAATATATAATATGTAGAGATATCAATAGATATAAATATATAAATACTTATATATTTATAATATATATTATATATATATGTATGTGTATATATTAAAAGCATATAAATATAGATATATATATAAGACTTTGAGAATGACATATTTGTTTCCAGCCTGTGAACATCAACACTCAAATTGACCCTGGGTGAAGGACCTTGAGCTGTCAGAGTGAAACCTGTGCCCAACTGTTCAGCATCACATCCTGCAGTCAATAAGCACTAATTTTTTTCCACCAAGAGGAAGGAAAATAATTGCCAATGTCTCAATGCTGATCTGGTCCTTTACTGCTCCTGATGCTGCTTGGGTTTTAAAGATGAATAAAATCCCCAAATGCAGCAATGAATAGAAACCCAATGGAATCAAACTATTAACACCCACTCTGGCACTTTATTTGGCACAGGAGATTCAGGAGAGTAAATTCCTGAAGGGTTGACGGTTTTGACACTGGCTGATGGGTCACACACTGAATGTTGAAATCCTCCTGTGCTCTTGCAGCCTCACTGGTTTTCCTGCAGCCTGAGCTGTTCCCAGAAAGGTATTTCAGAGCACTCAACATTTTAGCATTTTAGGAAACGCAGAAGATACCAGAAACATGCACAGAAATTCAAGCTGGCACTTCTCCTTCCTCTTATAAAATATCACAGTTATTAACAAATAAATATAAAGAGAGGTTTGAGATAAAAACGTGGGGTTTTTGTCTCAGCTGGAGCAGGACCTACACTGGTGAACCCACCATTGCACAGAATTCCCTGGGGAGCAGGAGAGCTCAGCCCTGCTCTGACTCACACTTTGGCCACAGCTTTTCAGCTTCCTCCAGAGGTTTTTCAGGGGGTGGGGAAGGTAAATCAGTCAAGGAATGGTGGAATAAAGCAGAGACAGTAATCTGACACCTCCCAGTCTGTCCTGAGGCCAGGCAGATTTCAGTTATGTGTTTGGGGGAATGTGTAAGATGCACAAGGGTTATTAGATGGTGTTTGAAAAGATGTCACAGGGCAGAGAGAAACATTGATTTAACACAGTTTGATTTTTTCTCCCTCCTCTTTTTTTATTTGTTTTCCCTTCCTCGTTCCTTTTTCTCCCCAGACTCTTCTCCAGTGAAACAATGGAGTGTATGTTCTGGCAGGGAGAGGAGATCCTAATTGATAAAACAAAGAATCTGATTTATATCAACCAAAGCCTTGGAAGGACAGGGAAATATGAAGGCAGCAGGAGCTGTATATTATAATTCCACTGTAACAAATGGGCTAAAGACACTCATAACAGCAAAATACAACCTTCCATCAGAATACCCATCAGGTTTTAATTTGGATTTATTTATTATTTGGAGTTGCTGTTTTGTCAATAAAAATTACGTTTAATTTCCACATATTTTCCCCTCCTTAGAAACCTCCAGAGTCCTGAACCAGGCAGAGCAGTCAGGTCTCCCAGGGCTGGCTTTGTAATCTGAGCCTGGAGCATTCCTTGGCTTTAGATAGATGCATCCATCCCATACTGCAAACAGTTGGTACGGGCAACATGCAAGTGCAGGCACATCCACCAGGGCAGATCCTTCATGGAAGAGGGAAATTCGTAACATTTACATCTCTTGCAGCCTGCCCTTCACTTCAAGGCACTTGCCCGAATAAATAGCTCGTGAAAAGCAGCAGGATTATGTTCAAAGTTGGTTTCTGAAGCCTGTGAGCACATAAAGATGCCACTGGAGCACTGGAGGAGTCAGCAGCCTGCTTTTATTTTGGCTGTGCTGCTCCATGTGCTTCCAATGTCTCACCACAGGCAAGTCTGCACACTGACAGGAGAATGTTAAGTTGACACTAAATACTTTGCTTTTCTCGGGTTTTGGAGTTGTGATTGTTTAATTCCTTGCTGACAGCTTTGAAATCTGTGTCACTTTCTGAAACGGACGCTTTTTATTGTTGAAATTAAATTCTGAATAATGATCAGGGCCAAGTTTTTATGGAGGAAGGACGTGACTGTTTATATTCCCTCATGAAAGCAGCCTCAGTGCTTTGCACAAAGCAAGGATGAAAGGGCAGACTCAAGCTGTGTTGTAAGTTAATATTGCATTGAGAGAATCACGAGGTAGTTGGGGTTGGAAGGGACTTCTGGAGATCACCCAGTCCAACCCCCTGCCCAGGCAGGGTCACCTGGAGCAGGTGACACAGGAACACATCCAGGGGGGTTTGGGATGTCTCCAGAGAGAGAGAGACTCCACACCCTCTCTGGGCAGCTGTTCCAGGGCTCTGCCACCTCCAGGGAAAGAAGTTCTGCCTCAAGTTTAAGTGGAACTTGTGTTTTAGTTTATGGCTGTTGCTCCTTGTCCTGTCACTGGGCACCACTGAACAGAGTCTGGCACCATCCTCTGATAACCCTTGGAGATATTTGTATGGATTGATGACATCTCCTCTCAGTTTTCTCTTCTCCAGACCAACCAGGCCCAGCTCCTGCCGTCTCTCACCATGACAGAGATGGTCCATCCCCCAGAAGGGAACAGACACGAGATTAAATCCAGACTTTGCACTAAAACACCTCATTACAACATCCTTCAAAATTTCCAAGCCAAGCCTTCAGGGCAAAACCCTCCTCCTTACCTGTGCAATGACCTCGGGGTCCATGGGCCGGTGGTTGTTGAAGCTCTTGGACCTCCCTGCTGTGACAGTTTTCCGGATCTGGGGGCTGTCGATCCTGTTCTTCAGCGACGAGTGTCGGCTGATGGAATTGAGGCTGCCGTGGCCACTGATGGAGCATTTATCTGGAACCTCCTTGGGAAGACTTTGGCTCATAATGGGCTGAGATGAGGGTCTGGAACCGGCTATGGCTCCGGGGGAGGCTGGTTCTGCCAGTGAACTACCTAGTCCATGGCTGTCACTTTGACGGAAGGCTCTTCTGATGCTGCCTGACTCTGGTTTCTTTCTTTGCCTTCAGTCACAAAAGCAAAACAAGTCAATACAAGCAGGCACAAACAACCAGCTGTCATTTTTTTGAAGATATCCCCCCAAAAACAACACAGAGGACAATGGGAAGAGACATAAAAAGATAACCCAGATTACAAACACGCCCAGGATTTTAGGAGTGGTTGCGATACAGTGAAATTATCAATCGTTCCAGTTCAACACTTCTAACAACGAGGCTGAGTTCTGGCAGCTGTGCACGTTCAGAGCAAAACCAGAAAACTTGGATGGAACGTGATTAACTTGGTCAAGAGGAAAAGAATCTGTATTTGAAGACAAAAAAAACCCTCTGTGCCTTCAACAGGTTTTGATGATGTGTTTTTATTACATTCGAAGAGCAGAGCTACAATTTTTGACTGGAGGACACAGTATAAGTCTACTAAGCTCCTGGCCCAAGGCATCAAGTTATTATTTTCAGAGATCAGCAAGCAAAGAACCCCAGTTTGGGGTTAATGATCATTTCCAATATTTGCTGGTGGTAAGAGGTGGTTCTTTGTCATGGCTCTGGCAGGACCACAAGGCACTTTTCTATGCAGGGCTACAGATAAACCAAAAGATGATGTCAAATGGATGAACTGCTCCAAAGAATTTAGTTTCTACCCCAGCACCTTGCGGTCTGACAGCACGATTCCTCTCAAATCATAGGAAGGCCAATGCAGCAGAATACTTTATGCCATAGGTCTGAAGCTTGGCATCCATTATACAGGGAAGGATCCATTTATATATAGCACCAGCCCCATGAATAACTGCAAGAAAGTGTTAACTCCAGTAGGATTTTGGCATCCAAATAATAATTCAGTGGGTGGCACAACTGTCATTGCGAAACCATCTGATTTAATTTTGCTCAAGTCTGTTCACACATAGGTCAGAAGATTCATTCCTAAAGAAAAAACAACAAAATGAGTCTTATGCTACTGTTGCTAAATATCAGGGTCCCTAGTAAAGGGAAAAAAAAAACTGGAGTGGACATTACCCAGGCTTCTTAAAAACACTACACACAACACTACCAAAGCCAGCAGATGGTGAAGCTCCAACATAGGTCTGTTATTACACAAATCTCTCCATAACTGGCAGAATGGCTACTTCAGTGGCTCAGACAACAAATATCATAAAAGAAAGCCCAGATCCCAAGCTGATGCAGATTAACATGGCTTCAAAGATATCAGTGGAGCTCTGCTGAATCCCATAACTAAGGACCAGGCCCTCTAGGCCATAAGCAGGTCCAAACCTTTTAAAAGGATGCATTTCTGCTAATGCTTTTATAGACTACATTCTGTTAAATTAACTAAAGGTTAAGACTATCCCCTCCCATCAAACTGTAATTATCACATAATACCTTCACTGCACAATAGAGATGTGGGGGTTTTAATGCTAAGGAAATAATCAGAAAGATAAGTTCACTCCAGAAAAATGAAATAACAGATCATGAAATTTAGTCTGTTACTGGCTTGATTTTTTTCAGCTTTTTTACTATGTTGAGTGTTGGCTAAGGCAACAATTTCTGGTAGAGAAGGTAAGGTTAGAGCAACAGGGGGTTGTGCTGTTCCACTGCAAGCATATGGTTAGTAACCTGAGGTGAGAAGTGCTGGAGAAACTAGAGAGTGTTACAGGCAATGCCAGATGGTGGGACTTCAGGAATGGCATTTATCACAAAATGGGACACCAGTTTCTGAAGGAACTGTCCCCCTTACCCCATCAAACAAAACATGTTAAATGTGGACAAGACAGGACAGAGCACAGAACGTAACAACGAATGGGGACACACGGTACAAGATCTCATTCCACCATTCCCCTCCCTTCCTCTGCTTAGCTCGTAAAATAGGGCATATTTGGGAAAACAGGAACAGATGGCACCTTGGGGATAGGGAAGAGCAGCCAGTGGGGTTTTAAATGAGCGTTGGCCACACTGGTGACAGAGATCGGGCAGCAAAATGTGAGTGGGTTAGAAGAGGGGGAAGCAGAGAAGAATGGTGGCAGTGCTGGTTAATGAACCTTTGTCAGGGAAGGAAGTATTTCACTGGGCTCATCACCAAGCTCTTTACAGTTCAGGAAAACAATGCAAGGCTGTTGTTCTTACTTGTTGATGTTTGCAAGGTAAATATCTGCGACGTGCCCCCCGCTCGGGCAGCTGGCACCAGCTCTGGCTGTCACTTTTTCTTCCGGTGGCTCAGAGTTTATTTCTATTTCAGACTTCGGGCTGGACCTTTCTGAGACTCCATCCTCACTAGGAAGGAGGAGGGAAGCACATCACAACCAAAACAGGACCAACAGCACCGAATTTCAAATGCAGCACTGTGCATGAAAACACACACACGGGACAGCAGCACAGTGCTGGTGTCCTTCTCTTAAGAATCATTAGGTATCTTTCAAATCATAGAATGGTTTTCTGGAAGGGATCTTCAAGATTATCCAGTTCCACCCCCCCTGCCATGAGCAGGGACACCTTCCACCAGCCCAGGTTGCTCCAAGCCCTGTCCAACCTGGCCTTGGACACTTCCAGGGATGGGGCAGCCACAGCTTCTCTGGGCAACCTGTGCCAGGGCCTCCCCATCCTCACATTTTCTCTTGATATCCAACCCAAACCTGCCCTCCTGCAGCTTAAGGCCATTCCCCCTTGAAAAATCCCCCTCCAGCCTGAGAGCCTGACTCCTGTGAGCAACCTGCATCTTTCACAGGCACCAGAACCATTCTGACACCACACCTCCACACCTGCGGGCACCGACACCTCCCCGAGCTCTGCTCGTTCCCCTTCCCGCAGGGGAGGCCGAAGGAGGAACTGCCCCCACCTGGTGCCAACACCTTGGCACAAACAGTCCCCTCCACACCCGAGTTTTGGGCAAGGCCAGGGTGTCACATACGTGTCCTGGACGACGATGTACTGGTGGGGGATGAGGCCGTCGATCCCGTTGTGCCGCCCCTCCCACCAGTCGTCCGAGGCCCGCTGGTAGAGCAGGAGGGAGGCTCCTTTTTTGAAGGACAGCTCTCGTGCTGTCCTGCCAAGGTAGTCAAACTTTGCTATTGCTTCTATGGGCTCACACTCTAAGGAGACAGAAGGGAATAAACAACAGTTCACTAAACATTTGGGCTTATTAAGTGTTCAGCTGTTTAAACCCGTAGGCGAGAGCATGAAGAGGATGAAGTGTTGCTGCTTAAGGCTGCAGTGTTTTGAAGCAGCAAAATTCAGAGGGGAACTCCCCTGTAACTTGTGGACTTTGCACTTTTAGCATTTGCCTAATCTCTGCATCCATGTTTTCCAAGTCATAAACCCACTCACAGCGATTCAAGCCTACAAGGATGGAAGTGGCAACGGCAAAATTAGTGTCTCCTTGAACCAAAAAGCATTTCAAAGCTGGGTAGCAACCAGGTGTGTTCCAGACAACAATCTGCCTATGGTACCCTTCCTTCAAGGCAGCTAAACTGAACCTCCCAGGCAGGCAGGAGTTGTTATTAGCATTTGGGGAGGGAAACATCCTCTCATTCCAAGCTGCTTCAGAAATAAAGCGTCTATTCAGAGGGAAATCTCTGCTGCCTGCGAGGTTCACCTGACCCAGGAGGCCGGATTCTGGCACCGTGGGAGGCCATGCTATTCATCCAACTGTCATGGAAGCTCAGGAAAACATCCAGGGCCTCCACTGTTGTGCTTTGTGCAGTGATGGGGAGGCTGAGCTGCTTCCCGGCCCCATCCAGCTGGGATGCTCCAGGGATCACGCCTGGAGCTGCACAACGTGCTCCAAACCTGCCTGCAAAGCTCACACAAGAGCTCCAGCCATGCCCTGGCTGCAACCAGCCCCTAATCCAGGTCCCTGCAGGGCTCTGATATTATACAGAGGGACAATAAGGGCATTTAGACACTCAGGAAGATCAAATGAAATTCATGCGGATTATTTTTAAGACTTCGAAAAAATCTGACACTGGTTGAGTCTAAATATATATTAAGTCAGCTCCCAATTCTAGGCAGGAATCAGGGGAATGGGTATGAGCTCAACCACACAGCCTCAGTGGACTTGCTTCATTACTTTAAAGGAGCTTTAACACAGCCAAGCAGTCCATGGAAATTTGAGTTCTTTCCTGGAGAAAGAGATTTGTGCTTCCCCTTCCTGGACAAGGAAAGATCTGCTATTCCATACAGAGATCTCCCCTGCATCACAGGAGGCTTCTACAGTGCAAGAGCCAGACAAATAACACTGGAAGGCCAAACATGAGCCACAGCTTTCACAGTTATTCCTTGGGAAAGCAGATGCCCAAGAATTAGGTCTCCGTGGCCGCTCACAGGCAGGCAAGGCTTGATCAAATAAATGGTGAATATGTGGCTGAAGCTCAGGAACAAAGCTGAGGGAGCAGAGCAGAAGCATCTCACCCCAAAAAGCCCCACCAGCATCTGAGTTACCCAGCACAAAGTGACCAAGGGCTGAGGGCAAATGGCAACAGGATCAGTCAGATCCACCCCCCAACAATAATTCCTCCACTACTAAACCCAACAGCTCAGAATTCTCTCAACCACACATTTCAGGTAAGCCTGTGGGTCAGCCTCACAAAAAATCCCATTATCAGCCCTCAGCAACCAGGCAGGGATTTGGAAGGGTGGGAAAAGCCTGGCCCACGTTGGCAGCTCTCAGCTGCCCAAAGCACGTGGTGACCCATGTTTGGCTCCTTCTTTCCTCTTGCTTGTTTTGCCTCTGGAGCCAGTTTCCTCCTAACACTAAAAACCCCAATTATGCTGCTTTCTGGTGTCCCCCTGCATTTAGGAAAGGGATGGGAGTGTGGTTTGGTACATTCCATCTGTTTCATTAGGAAGTGTTTATTGTTCCAGATGAGAGCAGCACTCAGGTTTCTTATGTTTCCAATTTGCTTTTTAGGACTCTGGCTCTTCTCCAGAGAACTGATTTTAGACTTTAATTTCCAGTAGCTTTTTCCTACTACACTTTCAGACAAGAAAGCTGTGTGAATAAAAGAGCAATAAGGCTAAGCCAAACAATTCCCTCTGCCAGTCTGAGAGCCTGGGCAGGAAAGCAGCAGATTCAAATGTTTCCACTCATATATGTAATTTAACAAACATATAATCTGCTTGTTTTTCAGCATTTCTGACCTCTTATACCTGTCTCAAACCAGAGTGTCCTCTCACTTGTACAGGGAGGCTGCAGAACAGCTTGGATGCTCTTCAAAACACCTCTTCCCCCATCCCAAAATTCCTTCCTTCAGTGAGGGTGGCTGGGATGACAGCTTTGCTTTGGGAACACTAGTGCCAGGCTCACAAAAGAGCTTAAGAAGCAAGTGCTAAAGAATCTAAAAGACTGAAGGAGGGAGAAAAACCCAGGAACATCCATCCCAGAGTCCTGGTGCTGTACCTGCACTGCTGACAGGTATGAGCGAGGTGTGACTCTGCACAGCTCAGTTGGGACATGAGATTCCTCACTTAACCAGACCCTGCAGCTCCCTCAAAGAGATACAGCCCCAGCTCCCTCCTCTGCTTCAGTGCCAAAGGCTCCCTCCCAAATGCTTCCTATGGAATATTCCATGTAGGATGCAGAACTCCATCCAAAACACCTCCCAGTTTTACCTTGCTCAGGGGCCCCACGCGATCGAGTTCCAGAGGCTGCAGAACAGTGTCCTTCTCTCATCTCTAACTGCTCATTTCTCACTATTGTCCCCCCTTCAGTCACAGAAGAGACCTAAAAATCCCCTCCAGAAACAGCCCCAGTGCCCACCCCAGTGTGGGAGCCTGCAGGCTTTAGCCCCAGGCTTTATGCAGATGTGGGATGAGTTGGCCTGTCCTTCCTCACAGCTATTAAATTGCTCTTTCTTAGATACAAACTCCAAAAGGACACATTTTCATGCATTTTTAAGAGCTAACACTTGTCAGACAGAACACTCTGTTCAAGACAGAGAGCAAGCTCATGTTTCATTCCCACAGGCTTTGTGCTGCCTCCCAACAGCCTTGGTGAGGAATCACTGTGCCAGTGCTTGACTGTGCTGAGGGAGAACTGATTTCCCAGCATTTCTAAACATCCTTTACTTCACCACTGGTGTGTGAACACCAGAGAATCACAGGATCCACTTAGGTTGGAAAAGACCTTTAAGATCACCGAGCCATGAAACCAGTGGGAGCACAGGGATGCCTTGGGAAGGGTTTGTTAGGCAACTGCTGAAGCAGAGAGGGAGCACAGGAGCACCTGGCAGGGCTACTGAGCAAATTCCTGACCAGCTCAAAAAAGGATGACACCTGATTTGAAGGGAATGGTAACTATTTCCCACCTTTACAACCGAGGTCACAAGTAAAACCATCACAGAACTCGCACAATTGCAAAGGGTCTAAATGCAAGAACAAAATCAAACTCTGTGCTGGTTGGGTCAGTCTGCTCTCTGTGCTGCTCAGTATTCCAGGCATCATTGTTTCACACCAGTAATTTAATCTTTCCTCTGCTCTGGATGGGGCTCACAGGATGTGAGGCTTGGGAAGTATCAACAACAGGCACTCACAACTGCAGTGTCACCTTCCCCTTAGGAAATACTGTGAAGTTCTCTCCTCTTTTCACTGATCAGACCAGAAATGTCACAGAGGTCCCCAAGGAAACCCAAAAATTATCAATGAGAGAGGCCCTCAGGACTCCCTACCCTAAAACCTGGCTGTGAGTAGAAGACAAACAGGTTTTGACTTTGTTTTGCTCCCTTCCTTAAAGCAGAACCACTGGGGCTCAGAGCACTCACACCCCCCCTGCCAGAGCTACAGAAAGGGGAAATGCCTGGTACAGGCAGAGGGAGTGGGGGAGCATGATGAAACACATCCAGCCTTTGGCTCTGTGCTTCCACCCTGACTTCCAAACCCAAGCCTGGAGTGTGCCCAGGCCTGCTGCTAAGAAGAGACAACCCCTGAGAAGAAGGGATGCTTTCAAAACACTCAGGTAACTTCTACAGCTCCCTACACCTTTTTACTTCTTGACACCAAATGCTGCCAATGTGATGTTTCGAGTGACTGTTCTGATTCAAACCCCACTCTGGAGCTGACTTTACACTTCAATTCCAAGGCACTTCCCTCCCTGCCTCCCCCAGGGCTGGCTGCACCAGTTATCCCAGCAGCTCAGAGGTTTTGCATACCATCATCACTGGTGTGGTGCTCGGCCGTGACGTCCTGCACCGAGTCTTCTGTGGAGGCTCTCTCTCCATGGGGACTCTCACTGCAACAGAAGGAAACAGGGACAGTGCTTTACACTGGTGGAAATGGAGTTTCCTCATCACAGCCATCAGATATAACTGGGAACATCCACGTGGGGAGCCAACATTTAGGCTCCACTGCGACGCTCTGCGGTGCATCTGCACGTGCTGAAGCCAGTGTGTCTGAAAATCAAGCTGAATTCTTATTTGATCAATCAACCCAAACATCCAGGTTACCCTTCTCGTGTGCTGTCTGCAGTCCAGCTTCAGCTCTTACAACCTGGACCTCTGGAGGTGCTAAGCAGTCAGGCAGCAGGGGCAAGCTGGGTCCAGCTCCTCTCTGCCATGCCAGGATTATATTCCCTCAGCTCTGTTCTCCACTGCTCTAATTAGCTCATTAGATGGCTGATGAGAAAGCTGCCACTTCCTGGGGGAAATCATTTCTCGATTCATAATGATATTTCCAGGTCTGTGTTTGTCATCTCCCTCCATCCCTTTTATCACCATTTTAAATTGTTCCATTCATTTCACTGAACAACTCCCGTGGCCTGATTAATTGCCTGTAAATAAAGATTCCAGAGCACCTAAACCACCAAGAGGACTCACTTATGTTTGGCAAGAAGAAAAGCTTTGGAAGGATCAATAGACAACAAGTGGCAACCAAAGGTTATGTTTTTGTAAGAAGCTACACGAGCAGTTCCCTCTGGACAGGAGCAGAAAGGAAGCTGGAAGAGGATCCATTGCCTCTCCCAAGCAGCTCTGTGGAGCTGCTGCCAGCTGGCAGCCCTGCCTGCCTGCCCTGCCTGCTCCTCTCAGGAGGAAAAAAAGGGATAAAAAAAATAGTGCTTGCTCTTCATCTTAGCAGACTCTGTTGCTAAAGAAAACTCGTCTGCTGCCCTCTCACAACGTAACTCCTAAAAGGTGATTTTTAATTCTCCTCACACAGGAATAACTTCATCCCTCATTTTGGTCTTGCAATGGTTAAAATAAGTGACCCTGGATGTACAGTGATCTCCCCCCTGGCAATCCCCCTTCTGCACTCTTTTAAAAAGAGGAGAAAAACAGAAAAAGGAGAAGGGGCAAAGTGTTTGAGTAATTCTGGTGTCTCGTTATGCTTAATCCACAGGACACCAAGCTGTCCAACATCTCCTGAGCCAGCACCTCTGGAATCAACCTTTCCCATCCTTTGCAAAGCTTTTGTGCTACTTCATAAAGTTTAGAGAAGAATCTGCAGCCAAATGGAGGCCCCAGGAGGAAGGAAGGCAGCACTGAGGGCTAAGGTTTCACACAGACTCTGAAGTCATGTCGCACACAGCTCCAAACGCTGCACAAAGGCCACGTGCCTCCTCCTCTCCAAGCCTCCAGCAGCATTTTCCACCAAAAAAACCATCCTTACTGCTCACTCTGAGGTGTGAGAGCCCTGGGATGCTGCACTGGGAAGCACTGGGCTGCTGGGTTTCACCCTGAGGGCTCCCAAAGTGAGAGCAACAAATCCTGGCAGAGGAACACTGTGAGAGCAGAGTCACTTGGGGCAGTGGAGGGGCAGCAACAATCTCAGCTCTCTGTGACCAGGGACAGGACTTGGAGCTGTGTCAGGGCAGGGTCAGGTTGGATCTCAGGACAAGGTTCTTCCCCCAGAGGGTGGTCGGGCACTGACCAGGCTCCCCAGGGCAGTGGGCACAGCACCAAGGCTGCCAGAGCTCCAGGAGGGTTTGGACAACACTCTCAGGGACGGGGGGGATTTCGGGGTGTCTGTGCAGGACCAGGGGTTGGACTGGATGATCCTTGCGGGTCCCTCCCAACTCAGGATATTCCATGATTCATCCACACTCTCCTTCCCTGCCATTCCCATGGCCTCACTTGTGGGTCTCCTGGACTCTCCCTGAGCAGTCTCAGACAGACAGACAGACACATCACAGCCCAGGCTTGACTCACAGGCAGGATTTCAAAGCTGATGACAAACTCTGAACCTTGCCCTACCCTGCTGTGCCCAGGGGAAGCTGTTCCACAGCTCTGCCAGCTCCAGGCCAGGGTGCAGGTCTGGAGCCCAGAGCAGGGGCCGTGGTGCTCAGCCCCAGCAATTCCACACCAAAACACCCTCTGGGAGCTCCCAGAGGGCTTGACCCATGAAGTGGCACCAGGATGCCCCAGCCACAGCAGGAACCAGCTGAACCCCAAGGATTCCCTCTGCTGCCTGCAGGGTGAGGAGCCCACGGGCGACAACGAACAACTCTGGAAATACCAGGACTATGAGAAAGCTGGAATGGGAACCAGATGCTTCTTCCTGGCTTTCAGCAGCCTCCCCTGCTTGCTTCTCCCCTTTCTCTGCTTAACAGGGTCCCAGGTCAGGGTGCTTAAGAAGGGCAAGGAAGGAAAACCAAATGCTTTCCTAAAGCTGATATCACCTTCCAGGCTGTTGTGCCTCCCCCACACTCCTGTGCAGTGACACCCAAACTGAGGGCACTCAACACTGCACATTTTTATTCCCTCCTGTCAAAGCTGATGTGTTTCCTCAAGGTCATAAATATTACTAAGTTGGGGTGGTTTTTTTTTCCCCTTACAATTCTTTCACGTGTAACATCAGCTAAAAGCATCAGAGCGAAGGGTGAAATTAAAGAGAATTTCCAAAAGGTTTTGGCAAGTCTTCTGCACACAGCAGTTAGTTGAGAGGAGCCTCTCCTTGCCACACGTACAAGGAGTGAGCTGATAGCTACAGCTACTCTGAAACAAGCCAGGGGAACAAGGCTTGCTCTGTCACCACAGCGACTTCATTAAAAAAATGTATTTATTTTAGTACACGAAAATAATCATTTGCATTCCTGGGGCATCGAAGGAGAGAAGGAGCGGGGGGGGAGAAGCAGGACACAATTTAACATTCCTCATCTTCAGAGGGAGAGATCAGCTTGGCCAGTAGGAAAGAAAACACCTCCTTTTCCTTCCCCCACTCCCCAACCTTCCACCCCAGATGACAGGAGCCGCTCTGCCTGAATTGCTTCCAGATGTGGCTTCAGACTGAACACGAGGCCGGGCCTCTGGAGCTTTTGGGCTGCATGGAAATGGTGATTTTGCATTCCTGCCTCTCTCCTCCCCCACCAAGCAGCGCTGCCCTGAAAACTATACCAGTGCCACAGCCTTGGAGGTTCAGCTGCCAGTGACCCCTGGGCCTGCAGCAAAGGCAGAAAGGAAAGGCAAAAGCAGGAGGAAAAAAAAAAAGAAAAAAGAAGAGGAAAAAAACCAAACAACAACTGAAAAAGAGATTGATTTTGGCAGCTACCAAACCAGAATAGCCAAGAAAATCCCTACACAACCTTGCCCTTCAAGATAAGTGAGCTGGGTTTGACAACTGAATAGCTACTTTATACCAGCTTATTTCTTTTGAGTCGATGGCTCTCCAGAGATCCCAGAGCCATCTTCTCTTCCATAAAACAGATTTTTGAAAGGCTGGGCCAGATGCTGCAATCCTGAATTAGAGAAGGCAGAACTCATGACTGTAACATGCTAATCCACAGATAAACATCCACCCATTCATCTCCTCCTCAGTGGTACCCATCATACCAGTAATCCTCTGTGCTTCCACCTCTGCTATAGACTGGACCCTCCAGCTCCCTCGGGCCTGGGAAGATGTTCTCATGTTGGATGATGATGGTTTTGATCAATTCATTGACATGAGCCTGGCAAGAGACTTGGTCGTGACCTTCAGGCACTGACATCAGCGTTGGCCCAAAGCAGATGGCTAAATTGTAGGGATCCATCATGTTTTCTTCACTGAACTGAGATAAACTGCAAAAAAAACACAAGTGGGAAGGAGGGTGAACAGCAGAAAACATCATCATCATCCTCCTCTGCTGCAGAACACACAGCTGAGCTCAGAAGGTTTGCTTTGGGCTTTCTGCTCTCTAAAGCTGATGAGCTTTAGCTGATTCAGGGACATGAATGCCCTGGATCCAGGTAAAAAATGAGATACTGATGGCATTTACAGAGAAATTAAATAGAAACCACAAGGGAGCTTGAAAGCTCGAGACTATGTGAAAAGGACTGAGTGCTGACTTTATAAGGGGAGCACATTAATCTCTGTCTTTATTCCTTTATTATTGCTGTTCTGAGCCCACTTGCAGCCCAACACTCAATATCAGAGCAACAGATCCCCTCTGCCATGGATGTAAATGGAAAGAGAGTAGGTTCAGTCTGGATATTGGGAAGAAATTGTTCCCTGGAAGGGTGGGGAGGCCCTGGCACAGGTTGCCCAGAGAAGCTGTGGCTGCCCCATCCCTGGAAGTGTCCAAGACCAGGTTGGACGGGGCTTGGAGCAACCTGGGCTAGTGGAAGGTGTCCCTGCCTGTGGTTTTAAGGTCCCCTCCAACCCAAACCATTCTGTGATTCCATGATCTTGAGTCCCCATCCCTGGAGGGATTTAAAAGCCATGTGGGACACGGGTCAGTTATGGCAGTGCTGGGGGAATGGTTGGACTCCATAATCTTTAAGGTCTTCTCCAACCTCAATGGTTCTGTGTTTACAGCAGGTCCTGCAGCAGAGCCCTGGTGCTCCCAAGGACACTCACTGGTTGAGGAATGCAAAGAGGTATCTCATCACAATCAGGGTGGTCTTCGGCAGGTTCAGCAGCACCTTCCGCACGTGCAGAGCTCTCTCCTGTAAATTATCCATTGCTGAAAGGAAGAAAGAGCACCAGAGTCATCATCCCACCAAACCCACAGCCTGCCACTGGGTCCAGGGCACTGTGATGGCTCCCTTGGGCAGCAGAGCAGCAGCAGGAGGAAGGAATTTTGCCCGTTTTTCGGGATGCTCCGGTACGGGAACGCAAAGGCTGCAGAACCTGCTGGCAAAGCCTTTGACAGTGAAGGTCCCTGAACACGTGAAACTTCACTGCAAGTTCCTTCCCAGCGTGGGAGCCCTGGATGTCATCTGTTCCAATAGTTCTGGCACAATGGCTCCTTCAAGCCTTGCTTAGAAAGGTGGGTGTTTTAAAAAAGAAACTGTGTAACGCTCAAAAGGAAAATTAACATAGTTAAAGGGTGAGGCAAAAAGCTTCTGTGTGCAGCAGCCTGCTGAGAAATAAGTGGGCAGCATAAATCATCTGAGAAGGGAGAAGTTATTTGGAAGCGGATTTGACTTTTCCCCATGATGTGAACTCGGCTCTGCAAATGCATTTCTCAGGAGCAGAGAACCACGAGCCATTTCAGCAGTAGTTATCTCCTGCTCCACTTCAAAGGCTGCCACCACAAGGGCCATTCCTCTGCTTGGACAATAGAATCATTCTTCAATTTTCTGGAGGACGTGGCAAGGGCCAGGTCATTTCAGATGAGGTTGTTTCACATAGGAAAAACCCACAAACAACTCTCTGCCTACCAGAACCACCTTTAGAAACCACCAAAGATGTTTAAAAGCTCGGCTGTGACTGCCCTGATGATTGATATTCTCTAACAGGAGTCAGAAGATGGTCCCTGGTGGTTACAAAGCTAAAAGGAATATAAGTGGTACCTTGTCAGCTAAGGAGAGCACACAGGAGCATGGCAGCACATCCAGGGAAAGCAGACAAGGCAGGAAGCCCTGCTGGTGATCCCTGCCTCTGACAGGGCCTTTCTGACATCTCCTGGTGACACATCTTAGAGATCATTTTACAGGAGTGAAGGGTTTTGCTTTATTCTGTTTTAAAAGAATCCCGTCACAAAGCCACTGCCTCACAAAAAACCCATCACACAGACCTTCAAATCTGCTCATTTCCATCTCCTTGTTCATTCAGATCAGAGCAAGGATGGCTGTGACCAGGTAAGTGCCCAGGCTGCCTAACAGAGGATGCCAGTGGAACAACCAAAGTAACCACAAAACCCTTATTCTGGAGTCAGGAAAAAAAAGGGGAAGGGAGGAAAGAAAAGTGGGATATCAGAAAAAAATCAGCCCTATTTCTTTTCAGATCTTCATATACTTACTGACACAGGCAATCAGATCATGAAAGATATCCTTGGGGAAGAGTGGGTGCTCCAGCCCTCGAAAATAAAGCTTCAGGACTCCTGCTATTGAATCCATGTCGTGGTCATTCTGGTCCCCAGCCAAGGGATCCTCCCCTTCGTGACAAGCAAAGAAAAGCAGGCAAGAAAAAATAAAATCAGAATACTGGAGAAAAGCATCAGAACACTGGAAGGATGCACCTCTGCAGGAGAAAAGGATTTATGTTAATCCCACCTACAACCAGCACGAGGCAGAGAGATGGGGAAGCTCTGACAGCAATCCCAGGAGACCTGGGGCAGCTTCTCTCAGCCAGATTTCAGTGTGGCCCCGGAGGTCCTGGAGCAATAGTGACACTCCAGGTATTTTGGAAGGGTGGGAACATCACACACCCACCAGGGAGGTGAAATGTTCCACGAGGCAAAACTCCCAACTGCAGCTCAGGTGGATGCAGGGGATGCACAAGAAGCATCCCAGCCCTGGCTCAGCAGGATGCAGACGTGGGGAGCTGGGGTGGGAACATTTCTGGGATAATTTGTTGCTGCAGAGATGCCACAGTTTGTCTGTATTACCAAAGGAAAGATGCCCACTTAAGGAGTTGCCCCCTAGGGAAAACTCCCTATCAGACATAATTAGATTTAATGATGGGGCAATCCTCAAATTGAAGCTATATATATCCATTATGTGACTGAAATCACCAAAGCTTGCCTATTATCTTAATAACACACGGGATAATAAATGGGCCACTCCAAACTGGAGCATTATCCCTGATATTAACTGCCACCAAGGGCTCTGGATGAAGTAATAAAATGCAGGAATGTTATTGTTAACTTTGGCAGTTCTGTATATCATTTGCTTTACAGAGACAAGTGAGATGAACTAAAAAAAAAATAAAAAAATCCCTTTTTACTTCTGCATGTCAGCGCTGGAACAAGTGGTTATTTGGTTATTTTCCCAAGCTGATTGGTATTTCTTTATATAAAAAAGGGACTGATTCTGATATCAAGCCTTTTCCTTGCTATGACACATTTCTGCTTCCTCTGTTCTCGAGGATTTTAATCCATGGAGGTGAAGACAGGTGACATCACACACCACATTTCACAAATGCTGTTCACTAAACATCTCTCTTCCCAAAAGCAGAATAAACTTGCAACGCTTAATTAATTACTGCTTGTCTCTCCCACCAGCAAGCCCAGGAACACACTGACTCTGTTCTTTCAGAGTGATGTATTCGGGGGATTAACACAAGGCCTGTTGTTCCCAGTGACCCAGGCAGGACTGGGGAGATGAGCTGCAGGAACTGCCTGAAAAGCAGCTCTTCTGAACCTGCTCTGCCAGGGAGAACAGCCCAGCAAGGAGCTGATGAGTCAGGAGGCTCCCAACTGCTCTCTGCCTTTGTAAGGAATGGCTCTTTCCCACAGAAAATCAAATCTATTAAAAGCTATTTCAAATTAACGGCGCCTCGAAATTTATCCTCTCCCTCGCTGATATTTAAAATAAATGTGGCCAAGCTGTGCCTCAACAACGTGGAAAACACAAAATTTCATCCTCTAGCAGCCAATCTATTCAGAAAGGGCTGGGGGGGAGAGGGGAGGAAATTGCAGTTACACCTAATAATGAAATTCTCCTCGTCCTTTAGTGTTACAAACGATCAATAAGCTATCAGACATGAGAGAAGATTGAATTCAGAATATTTATTATACAGACACTCTACAAGGTACAAAGCATAAAACCAAACAACTGAGAATTCAAGGTTAATGAGCACTAGGGAAGCGTTTGGGAGACTCATTTAGGATATACAAAAATCAAAGGGATAAAATAGAGCGAGTTGCATTCAAAACAGGCCATTTCAGGGCATTTAAAGAAATGCATACATTTGGCAAGAGTTTCTGAGATACTGGAATGGTTCTTCCTTACCTCTCTCAAATGCATTTTTTATGTCATTCACTTCAACTTGTGACCCAGACACCCGGAATATTCCTTCATGCTGCAAACCTGTAAGACAGCAAGAGATGCTGATAACAAGATAAGATAGATTAGATAAGGTGGCACCTTCAGCAGCTACAGCTCATACAATAAAGGAAAGACAAGAACAGAGGCAGAAGGATGCTGATTTAAAAGCCACTTCTCTCTTCTGTCCAGGCATGTACAGAATATGTAAAACCAGAACTCAGCACAGACAGAACAAATATTAACCCTTCTTCCTAAACCACTGCAGTAACTGGGCTATAACAGCCACGTTATCTTTTATCCTGGGGGGATCCCCAAAGGATTTTACAACCCAGAGAAAGTCATAAACTAATGGTGTATCAGCCAGGAGTAAAATATGGCCAATGCCACGAGGACAACGTTTATTTTGCAGGAGCAATTCCGCCAAGGCCCGGAGCAAATCAGCCACTTGAAACGGAAGCATTTAATTACTCCCAGCACGACCCACGGGCTTAGGACAGGCTTAAAGACATTCCTGCTAAAAAGTGAGCATTAGGAATGTCATTGTTTTGTCAAGTATATGGGATATCCCAATACACTCCCATCATAACAGTTTTGTTGGTTCGACGAGCAACGACTGCCACAAATCAAATGAGCAAGAGAAATTAGCTCTTGTTCCCTCCAGCCTTTCCACTGTGGACTTTCTGAAACCAGGAATGCTGTAATGTCTTTGTTTTATTTATAACAGAATCATGGAACAGCCTGAGCTGGAAGGGACCCACAGGGATCATCCAGTCCAACTCCTGGCCCTGCACAGACACCCCAACAATCCCCCCCTGTCCCTGAGAGTGTTGTCCAAACACTCCTGGAGCTCTGGCAGCCTTGGGGCTGTGTCCACTGCCCTGGGGAGTCTGGTCAGTGCCCAGACACCCTCTGGGGGAAGAACCTTTCCCTGAGATCCAACATAACCCTGCCCTGGCACAGCTCCAGCTGTGCTCTGTCACTGCTCACAGGGAGCAGAGATTGGAGCTGCCCCTCATGAGGGGCTGCAATCCCTGATGAGTCTCCCCTCAGTCTCCTCTTCTCCAGCTGAACAAGCCAAGGGACCTCAGCCACTCCTCCTATGGCCCCTTTCCCATCACACAAATCCATAATAATGGCCATCAATAATAAACCCTCCTGGATGCACCTGTGGCCTCTCCCTCTCCCCCCTCCGAGGGGTTTTATCCCATTGCAGTGTGTGGCTCACCACAGCTACAGAGGGAAGAAACAATTCCCAGTGTGGAGAGGAAAAAAAAGAATGAAAACCACATTTATCCCACACCTACACAGCCAAACACTTGGAAATGTCAGGCCAGCTCCAACAAATCCATCCCTGCGTGTGAGTGCGTCAGGAAATCGCACCAGTTCTGCTGCCTCACGTGGCTTTGCTGTATAAAACACATTCCTTCTAATTCCAAACTGTGCCTCACACCATGGCCTGACATTCTGTGCGGAAATACATCGAGTTTCTTGGAAAATCCAAGCTAAGCCAGCAATATGAGTCTGAAAAGTGTCATCTCCCTGATTTATCCTGCCTCAGTTCCTGCTGCAATGTGGTTTCAATGATTTTTTTTCCCCACCAAATATCCAAGTATGGCCTTAAAGAAGGATTACAGCACTTGAGATGATCTTCCAAGTGATGATGAGAATGGGACTCTAGATTATAAGTTTCTAAAATGGTGATGAAACAAGGCAAATGAAACAGGACCTACTACCCGGCCCTGCATCTTGGGTAATGAAGATAAATTCAACCCCTTTCTACATCTGTTAATTAACAGCTGTTCCACACACTACTAACAAATGATATCAATTAAAAATGAAAACAAATTACAATAAATGTATAGCATTCAAGGCTGTGAAGTTAACCTTCAAAACAGGCATAAATCATCTCGCTGTGGCAATAAGTGGGCAATTAATTCCCCACTTGACCTCCTGCATTCAAATACTCAGAGTATTCCTCCTCCTCTGGGAAGGGGATGATTGTTTTTGGTGAAGGCCACACTTCAGGGCTCAAAGGGAGGTGAGTGGAGGTGAGGAATGAGTGGTATCTGTGGATGGGAACCTTCTTTTGCAAGGAATAAAGGGATATTGTGGGAAGAACAACATTTGCAAGGTCAGTTATTTAGAGAAGTGATTGTACACATAATAACCAGCAATGCAGCCAGAGAGTCAGAGCCATTTTCCTCAAGTTGCAATCTCTGGGATTGCTCTGCACAAGCAGCACGTCCTGAGCTGCTCTGAACATTTTTTTATAAGGCTTCTACATCCCTTCATTTTATAGGAATATCCCAGGACACCTTCAGTCCCCAAACTCACCGTGTCTGCTGATGAATCGGATGCAGCTCTCCACGACCAAGGGAATGGCTTGGGAGGAATCCTGCCCAAAGAGACATTTAAAGAGCAGTCAGATGGTAAAAGAAGAAAGAAAAAGAGTAAAAACTAAGAAAGGTTTGACTCTGCACACTGACACCACAACTGGCTCTCTGTTATATGATTTCCAAGATCCTAAAAACTACAAATAAGCACCCCAAGACAGGCTGGGTGAACTGAAACTCCAAGCCAAATTTTAACTTCACAGTATCAACAAGAGATAATTCTGAGTTTTGCCTATCTCAAAGAAACACATTTGAGCTCACTGGGTACCAAAAAGCAACAGATTATCCCCCCAGCCAGGGACACAAAGCCTGCCCCTGTAAGTCTTTATTACATGAAGGCACAACAAGTGAGCAGTTACAGGTTTAATGGCATTGCAGTGGGATTCCAGGGAAAATAAAGAGAATGGGGACAAAGAGACAACAGCACGAATCCCATAAACCATGGCTGTCCAAACAGCTCGGGGCTGTTTGGTGTTTTTGGTTCCAGGTCTGTCAGAACGGGGAGTAAAATTAATTTTATATTCTATCAGGGAAAATGAACGAGGCTTTGAGTGATTTCAGCCACTGAACGTGCAGACACCACCTGGACAAGGCTGAAAAGGTCCATGGAAGAGAGAGAGGGATGAAAACATTTGTTTTCCACCAACACCCCCCCCCAGAGCCCTGCTTCGTTACTGAAGGAAACATTAATTACCTGCTTCCTCACGGTGGAGCTGCGCCTGCCACTGATGGGTCAGAACCACCCAGGGGGGTGCAGGAGGGAAAAACAGAACACAACAATCAGGATAATCCCCCACCATCACCGGCTCATTCCTTTCACATTCCCAACCACCCGGGAGCAGGGAAGGAGCCAGATATCCAAGTCAATCCCAACGACGAGGGTCTTGTTCGATTTATGGAACTCCAGGAAGATTTTAAGCGACTTTAAATCACTAAAAAAACCCGAAACAGCCGCCAGGGAGCTCCGACAAAAGATTGCCCTTGACGTTTTAATTCCAACCATCCGGGATTCTGTGGCACAGAGCTCCTCGGAGAAGATGAAGTTTGATATAAATTGCACTGAGCTGCTCCCTGGAAGAGCAGGTGGGAGCAGCCTGGTTCCCACTGTGCTTTTAACAGCTGCCACTGCGGAGACTTTATTGCAGTTTTGATAAGATTTCAAATAAATAAATAACACAAACCCCCTCCAACACCGGCACGCACCAGCCAGGCTAAGCCTCTTCTGTCTGCTCTCATTTATTGATGTTGGGGGACATTAATGGTAGAAAAAAAAAAGGGGAAAAAGCCTTGCTTTGCCAGGATTTTCTCCCCCCTCAAAATTTATTACTGGGGTTTAAAATTCCTTTAGTTTCTTGTAAAAATGAAGCGAGAGAGATAATAGCAGAGAGGCCCTAATGGATCATTCCAGCCAATTCCCTGCCAGGGCAGATGGCTGCTGAATTATAAATAAGAGGATCAGAAGTGTGATTTTTAAAAAGACTGTGCAATGTGTTAATTTGAGGGAAATTCCTTCTATAAAAGAATCAAAAACACTGAACGAAAAATAAAAAAAAAAATAAAAATCAGATTCCACGGGCTGTCACAGACAACAAGGCCCATTTGAAACTATTAGCAGGAATGGTTCTTTGATATTTAAAATTGTTTCATGATGAATAATATTTTATTATTACAGATGTCAGGGTCTAATTAGGACCTGTCAGCTTTGCTTTGCTGTGAGGAATGTGAACAGTAGTAATGGCTCCACACTGGTAGTAATCACCTTCCTTTTGTTAACGAGGCAGGATGATGCACAGCCCCTGCTCCAGCTCCTCATGCCCAGCAGAGCCCCCTGAATCCATCAATTTGGGGATGGAGATTTGTTATGTTTTACAAAAAGCCCATCAGAAGCTTGGTTATGGTTCTGCAATTGGTCCTAATTACAAATGAAAAGTTAATTCTCCACCATCTCCGTGCTGTTGGATTCAGCTCCGTGGCACAGCAGAGTGTCAAGGGGATAAAGGGTTTCCCAATTTATGTTACTCAACTCCAGGCACCAACCATGTGGATAAACCCCTGAAGACTCCCTGGGCCCAACTCTCTTAAAGAAACAGAAATTTGGTTGTAAAAATCTTCGTCTCAAAAATATTCTCTGGGTTCTCACAATTGTTCTGCACTAAATGCACCGGGGCAAGAAGAGGAATTTGCTTCTGTGCTGGCTCAATCCATGTCCCATCCCTGGAATTGTTCAAGGCTGGAGAGGGCTTGGAGTAACCTGGGATAGTAGGAGGTGTCCTTGCCCATGGCAGGACATGGAATGAGATGATCTTTAAGGTCCCTTCCAACACAAACCGTCCTGGGATTCGACTGTATGATATAATTTTCTACCAGATGCACATCCTGGGCTGGTCACTGAACTAGAATGATCAATTTGCATCAGATTTTCCTTAAAAATATAATTCCCTGAGCCACACCTACCTGGCTAGGGCGCAGTCAGTCCGCTGACCTGTGAGGAAGACAAAGAAATCCAGCATTAGGAGAGAGGAATGAGAAAATGCTTTCAATACCTCTGCAAAGCCAGTTTGGGAAGGAGATGGAGGAGAGGAACCACTGGTGACAGAGGGGGCAGCTCTGGGAGCTGGACAGTGGCTGATCTCCCCCAGGAGCATTGCTGGGGACACCACCAAAGCCCATCCCTGCTGGCACAGCTCTGGCCAGGAGACACAGCTGTCCAGTGACTCTGTCTCTGCAAAGGATTCTTCTTGAAAACCAGCTCCCTGTGCATTCTAATTGTTGATTTCTGCCCAAAAAACTGGGCTTGTCAACCTCTCCCTCCCTCCCACTTCCCAGGGGGAATTGGTGGGGCAAGAGATCCTGCTTTACAAAGCCCCTCAGGAAGACTGAAAACATTCCCAGATTTGTTAGTCCACAGACTGAACGTGCTGGCATTAAGCTATTTTGAGAGACAGACAGTTTAATGGTATTTTCCACAAACATATTTATAAAAACATTCCATTAACTTGCAGTGAGTTTGCAAGGAAGCAGCCAAGGCTCAGGACTTGCTAATGCAGCATCATCTAAAACATCACAACAAGGAGGAAAACGAAGATGTGCTGCTGGGAATTGCACAGGCCAGATCCTTTGCTGGTCTAGATTATCAGCAGTGAAACCACACTGATTCCCAACAGCTGAAAATCCACCTTCCCTCCAGTTGTCTTCCTGCTCCTGGGGAGATGGAAGAACCAAGGAGGGAAACAGCTAATTGCTGATGGCTGACAATTAGCTGAACACATCTTGATAGCCACTTCTCTCTCCCCACTTAAAGCCAAAACAGTGCATAATTTACATGAAAATGTTATTCTGAAGCAGAATTTCCAGCCATCTGTCCCGTTTTCATCATAGAATATTCATATATATAGAAATTACACGGCTGTGGCAACATCAAGGGGCTCCTGCATTAGGGTGACAAATGTGTACAGTAGGCAGGGACATAATTACTTGGAGATAGGAAAACTGCTGCTATTTTTATTGCTGGAACTTGTCATCTTTAGATTAAGGCAATTTGCACGACAACTAATAAATGTCACCTGAGGATGGGGGCAAAGAAGAATAAAAATTACAACAAACCCCTGAATTTTCCAGGCACTGAAGACACGCAGCTGGAGGAACATTTTTTTTTCAGTAAAGCTTCTAAACGTGCTCTGGGGACGTGTGAAAGGGATTTTTATTTGCCCATTTCCCAATTAAGTGACATTTTATGGGTAAGTCTAGGCACAGTCCCCAGTTTGTCCCATTAACCTGCTCATGTGGTTTTGGACATGAGATGCACCTCCCTTTCTCAGCTCCTTTTGATCTCACAGATGACAGAAGGATTTTTTTTCAGGGGCTGCTGGATCTCCCCCTGACACTCTTTGGGTCCCTTCACAGAGACACTAAGAAAGTTCTGGTTTGCAAAGCAAATGAAGAAAACAGAAGCAGCCTTTAAATCTACGTAGCAATACAGAAATCACATTTAATTTCCTCTCCTTTTCCCTCCCACCACAGCTTGAGCTGGGTTCAGGGGGCAGGCAGGTTAAGAGGAAAGAGGTCTTGGAATGCAGAGGTCAGCTATGATCCAGGAATGTGATTAGTCACAGGGGCAGCACGGGTGTCCCTTGGAGATATTTAGAGGCAGAAAAAAAATACCCTAAGGACACAGAACTTTGGCTTCACCCACCCCTTCTCTGGGACAGCTGAAGAGATGAACAACTTCAACCAGCAAAGCTCAAACCAATGCACATCCTTCTCTTGCCTTCCAGTGGTTTGGGTCTGATAAACACGAAACTCTTTAATTACCGTGGCAGTAAGTATTTTAGTTTTATAGTGCATTTTTAAACTGAAAGCAAAGCACTTCAAAGCCCACATGCTGGTTGAGTTTTCATCCACAAGATTTGCACACCATAAACTGTGGGGAGCCCAGCTCAGTTACACATCACAACACCAGCCCTGCTCCAGCACACGAACCCAGCAACGAGCTGAGCCATTTTTTTTTTTGACCTGACATTTAGACTGTTAAAACCTTCTCCTCTGCAAACACAAGGCAGTCAGGTTTCTATGGAAACTTGGATGCATAGTTTAAGTGTTTTTGGCCAACGGGATTTGCCCATACCATGAAGGGAAAGAAATCTTCCTTTGTTCTGACACCAACAGCAAATGCATATTCAGTTCTGGCTGCTGCCCCTTGACAGGCAACATATTTTAAATGCTCTGAAATTTGCTTGTTATTCTCCCAATAAGAGCCCAGGCTCACGTACACTGGGGTTTGGTTTGAACTCCCAGAGGTGAGAAGCAGCAAAACCACCACGGAAGTGAAACTTCAGACCAGGCTGTCAGTACTTCTCAACTTCATCAGCAAACTGTAAATCCCAAGGTTTGCCCCGGTGCAGATCATTAAGTGATGAGCAGGAGGTGTGTGAATGGGGAGAGAATGGAGGAGGGGGCACACGCTTGGCTGCAACCATCAGTGAGGCACTTTAGTGATTCATTAAGCACCTTGCGTTCACCATTAATCAAGCAGCCACGCAGGTCACTGGGCTGCTCCATCACACAGATCAGGGGAAATAAATTCATAAAACATGAGTGTGGCCACTTTGCAGCACTAACCCAGGGCTGGCACACTCAGCTGACTAATGCAATAAGTGCAACAGCCTGGCTGGGAGCAGGGAGGGGGGTCCCAGACTCACTTTCTCCCAGGGTCTTCTGGAGAAGGTCATGCTTGGCTTGGAGCTTCGTTATCAGGTTCCTGCCTTCCAGGTACTCCTTCATTTTCTGGGAAGGTGGGGGGGAAAAAAAAAGGATCATGAGTAGACAATTCACATCTTTTTTATTGCACCTTCATGTCCCTTGATTCTGAACACAAGTTGACACTGAAATTCACAGTTAAAGGACGAGTTAAGTCCTGGTTTATCTCTCTGGGCAAGTCTGAAGTTCAGCCCATCCATCTTTCCAGTCCAACAAAGGCTGGACTTGATCTTGGAGGTCTTTTTTTCCCAACCTTAACGCCTGTGTGATCCTCTGTCTGCAGCGCAATTCCCATTGTTCCCCCGTGGAATCAGCTGAATGTTTGGCATGTTTGAAGCCATCAGAGGAGCTGTCACCCATCCCTCTGCAGCCAGGGGGGGAATGGAAATGCAGCTGAATGAGCAATCTGTTCTAACCAACTAAAAGGCTGCTACTGTGCTTATTCTCTCACTTAACCTCCCTCACCCCACTTTACTTGTCAAATGCTGGGGCTGCCTCCACCCTGGATGATGCACAGGGTTGCAGGGGGGCCACGGGACAAAACAAATAAAGGTATTATTTAAGTTCAGATCTACTCTCTTGGTGAAATATTATACAATCACACAGGGTTTTTTTTTCCCACTGCTTCCTGATTTTTCACAGCTCTGCAAATGCTGGTTTTTCGCAGGTCTTTCATCTCTTATTTTTGCAGTTCAGAGCAGTTTTTATTTATCTTCACTGAGCTGCAGCACATAAAATACAGTAGCTGTCCATGTTGGAACCGGGACATATATACACTGAGAAAAAACACAAATAGCACATAATTCTTCCAATATCACAGGCCATTCTTTAGAATCACGGGATTCTAAAACCATTCCGTGATATTTTAAAAATTCAGCCAGCAAAATCAACACAAAGAGAGGATTGTCATTTAATAATGAAATGTTCTCCTTCTTATCATTAAATCCTCAAATGGTTTGGGCTGGAAGGGACTTTAAAGATCACCCAGTTCCACCCCCTGCCATGGGCAGGGACACCTTCCACTAGACCAAGTTGTTGCAATCCCTGTCCAACCTGGCCCTGGACACTTCCATTGGCTCTTCCCAATTCTCTCCACTTTCTCCCAGTTCTGGACTAGGATTGCCAAATTAGACTGCAAATATTTAAGGTAAAAAAGAGTATTTTTAGCCATGAGAGTGCCTGGCCCCTGCTTGTCCTTTGTAGGTCACAACAGCAGTCTCTGTGCAGGATGTAAAGGATCAAGAAGAAATATATACATAAATAAATAAAGAAATATATATATATACACCGTGGCAGTACTGAGGGTAAGGGAAAACCTTCCAGGAACTAACGAAGTTTCCCCTGAGGGGTCTCCAGCCGTGCTGTGCACTGACACAACAAACAAAAATGGCTTTAATTAACTGCCAAAAGCCTGTGTTTTATGTCCCTTTGCTTGACAACATTGGAAGAAACATTTCACAAGAATTAAGTCCCTTTGGAGAGTCTCAGCATTTCCTGCTTCCTATATTAACACTTCAATTTTTCTGCTGTTGTTTTAGAAGAAAACAGGAAGTGTGATCACTGTGACAAAAAATTAATCACATTGCTTTTGGAATTACCCCGTAGGACCAAGCCCTAACTATATATTTTGCTCAGTTAAAAATTTTACATCAAATCTTGACAGAAGAAAACACTTAAAGCTGCAAAAATAACCAGAGAATCTGAGGTGGGGAGGGGGTTGAGGATAAATCTGGTTTGGGAGGTCTCAGAGTCACGGGCGGGTGAAGGGAGAGGAAGGGCTGGAAGAGGCTCAGCTCAAACAGAAGCTTAAAGATCAGCAGATCAACTTGATTTGGCAAAATTAATCCCCCCTTTGAAGCAGATCTAAGCACTTAAGCTCAGCCTAAGGTGGCTGCAGGCAGAGCAGGGCAGAGACACAGCGCTGGGACTCCCAGTGCTCTGGCTCAGGTCATGTTAAGAACATCACCTGCCTGGGATTGTACCAGGGAATGTTTTAAAAGGAGAAAAAGAGAAGGTTCCTATTCAGTGCAGTATCTCAGGAGATTTTATCCCTGTTTCCTCGTGCCTGACATTCTGTACTCTGCCTGTTGCAAGGATGCTTATAAAAAACCCCCATAATTTTAAAATAAGGCTTCGGACTTTGTTCAATGAATTACAAAGATGCATTAGCACCGGATTTTTGGCATAATAAAAACAGACAAAAAACAATAATCAAGCTACAGGAGAACTCCTAAGGATTCCATTCCTGGCAGAGCACAGCTGGAGTCACACTTAGTGCAATCAGAACAAAGCAGCAGAAACATCCTCAGGTCACATTATTTCTGCACTGTGACAATTAAGAGGTGAAGATTTGTTCTCAGTCAGAGTTGGGGAGCATTTTGCACCCAGAAAACCAAGCAACTTGGACACCTCAAGCCCAAACTCACTGCAGGATTTTCCCAGGGAGAACCAGTTGTCAGGTAGGACAGGGGAAGAAGTGAAATGCAAACCAACCTTACCCTGGCTATAGAGAAAACCCATTTCTGCCACTGTCCCACATCCTGATCTGCCTCCAACACAGAAAGCTCAGCAGTTTTATCCTCTCTCTACACCCTCCAAGAACAACTTCAACCCAGGCATTTGCAGGAGGGGGGGAATTGGATCTGACTGACCAAGGGCCCAATGTCCCACTGACACACCCAGTGTGATGCTGCTGCAGGACTCATTAGCAGGGAGGCTTCACATCCCACTTCAGACCCGTGGCTTAAGGGTTTGCTAATAATAAACTCACATTAATTCTAAAGCACTTCACAGAATGAGCATTGTTCTGGCTCTTCATCTTTGCGGAGGAAAAAAAAAAAAATAACATTTCGTCCCGAGGACTAAAATTACCCCGGTTTAGAGGTAAGAGAATTAAATCATTCATCCCCTCTCCACTCCTCAGGTGGGGCCGAGTGCCAGCTGTGTTATGATTAGCAGCTCTGACAGCTCCAATTCCAGGAAGCAGGGCTGTATCCATGGCAGCAGCAGTCACATCCCTGGATTTCGGCTCCCTGAAGTCGCTGCTGCTTCCCTGCTTCAGCCACCTGCATCAGCTCAGTGCTAAGTCAATCATTCCTCTGCTTTCCACTCACACAGGGAAGTTTTAAGCCCCTATTCTGAATACAAATCTTCCTTCAAAGCCCAACAACACATCCATCAGCGTGCAGGGATGTGCCTCTAGTGGAAACACAGATTATTCCAGCGTGGAGATGCTACAGTGAGTATCTTCAATTAAATTCCCATCACTCTATTTACCCCAGAGTTCTGCCCAGCCAGGAATGCACTACGTGGAATTTCCAGCTTGAGTTACATTAATATGGAATACTCTTTTAAATCAGTGTTTTGCTTACAGTTCATATCCCTCAGCATTTTAGCACATCAGAAGGTAAAAGGGGATTTAAAGCTCAGTTCTGCTCTGCACTTTGTTTTCATCCC